GCGAACGTCCAGGGAAGGCAGCCTATGCTCCCTGCTGGAGGAATGTGGTTTGGGATAAAACACAGGGAGAAAAAGGTCCTGACCCATGTGGAATTGAGAGACCATTTAGGGAGGAACGCCAGGTATGACCTGAGTTGGACCTTGTTCTTGTGAATGGAGGCTCAGACGTCAGGGCTCTGAGCTCCGAAACCCTCCTGGCCGAGGTGATAGCCACAAGGAATACGACTTTATAGGAGAGATACAATAGTGAGCATGTAGCAAGGCGCTCGAAAGGGGGCCCCGTGAGGGCAGAGAGGACCAAATTAAGGTCCCAGGCCGGGACAGGTTGTTGCATATGCGGGAAGAGTCTATCCAGGCCCTTGAGGAAGCGGCTGACCAGTGGGTTAGTGAAGACTGATACTCCATCGGCTCCTGGGTGGAACGCAGAGATGGCAACCAAGTGGACCCGGACCGAGGACAGGGAAAGTCCCTGCTGTTTCAGATGAATTAGGTAGTCTAGTATGAGGAATCGGGGCGAGCAATGGAGCTTGACCCTGCTGTTCTGCCCAGATGGAGATATGTTTCAACTTGGCCATATATGTGGCCCTGGTGGAGGGCTTCCTGCCACCAAGGAGGACTCGCCTAACCTGTTGTGAGCACTGCATTTCCACTGGGTTCAGCCATGGAGCAGCCAAGCTGTGAGGTGGAACGACTCCAGGTTCGGGTGCTGGAGGCGGCCTTGATCCTGTGTGATCAGGTCTGGGAGCAGGGGCAACGCGATGGGCACCTGTACAGACATCTGCAGTAACTACGTGAACCAGTGCTGGCGGGGCCACACCGGCGCTATCAGTATGACTCGAGCACGATCTCTGCGAATGTGGAGGAGTACCCTGTGGACCATCGGAACCAGAGGGAAGGCATAGAGGAGGCCCCCTTCCCACGAGAGGAGAAAGGCATCCGTGAGCGATCCTGGGCTGCGCCCCATGAGGGAGCAGAACCGTTGGCACTTCCTGTTGTCCTGCAAGGCGAACAGGTCTATCTGGGGATAGCTGTAGAGACGGAAGATAGAACTTACCACATCCTAGTGAAGGGACCACTCATGACCATTGATTGAGCGGCTGAGGGTGTCTGCTAGACTGTTTTGCACCCCCCGGGAGGTAGAATGCCGTCAGGTGGATTGAATTCTGCATGCAAAAATGCCATAACGCGTGGGCTTCCCGGCACAGGGGAGAGGAGCGTGCACCCCCGTTTGTTGATATAGAACATCGCCAAGGTATTGTCCATGAGGACTGCTACACATCTGCCTGTCAAGTGGGATTTGAAAGTCTGGCAGGCAAGGCGCACCGCCCGCAGCTCCCTGCGGTTGATGTGCAAGGAGAGGTCCTCTGGGGACCAGAGGCCTGGGTCCTGAGATTCCCCAGATGCGCCCCCCCATCCCAGATCCAATGCATCTGTTACCAGGGATAGGGTTGGTTGAGGGTTGGAGAAGGGTACTCCCGCGCAGACCTGACGAATAGCAAATAAACAATAATCTTGTTTTGTACAAATACCAATATTTGTATGAGCACAAGAAACAGCCACTCTTTTGATCTGTGTATATATTTCACTATATTAGAATGAATTAGTTCATGTTACTCATTCTTAGATCAACTAAATTAACATATTAAAGGGAAAAAAACTCTGTATAAAAAAATAGACTTTGTGATAAAGCTTCATTTAAATTGTTGCCAGAATGTATTCACTTAATTAAAAGAGAGGGGGGGGAAAAAAGAAGACATATATCCCAAGTATGTCTGATTCACAACTTCATGCGGGAAGGAGTGTATTTTAGTTCTAGTGGTGCTGTCCTGTTTCGTTTATTGCTGTCTGTATTTAGAATACAGTATTGCTTGTATTTGTGTATAAATTTACTTTGAGCCTCAGATTTTCAACCGTGATTGCACAAAGCTGTGCAAACACTTCTGTAGGTACTCAATTTGCATATCATTTTGCAGCATATACAAGTATGTCTGTATGCAAGTCAGGATTTACATGTGATCATTAGTTTGCACATCTGCAAAACTGCACACAGACACCCCTCTGCCCTGAAAATGTTTGTGTGCACACACACACACACCCTTCTGCCCTGGAAATATAGTGAAAATGTTGGGAAATAGTCAATGAAAACACAAACATTTTTTCTACTTCTAAAAGTAGCCTGAAATCCATGTGAATTCTGCAAAGCATTCTCAGTTATTATTTTCTGTAGCCATATGTAGAATTGATGGGGTTTTCTTCACCAGATTAAAACAATATTAAGGTATGTCAAGTTTTGAACCTATACTACTTGTCACTCTCCTTTTAACATGAACCCCCTAAATTCCTGTTACATAAAACTATGAAACATTAAAGTGAACTACTAAGGAATGGAAACCTATCATGTGTTCTTTCAGCATGTCAATGGACAAAGTCAAAGCTACCTGCAAAAACAGTTACTTACGTACAGTAAATGTTGTTCTTTGAAATGTGTTGTGCACATATACATTCCGCTGCAGGTGTATGTGTTCCCAATACACTCGAATCAGAGACTTTTGCCAGCAGTACCACAAGGTGGTGCATGTGCTCCTGCTCTCCTGGTGCTCTCAGGCAAGGACATAAAAGAGGTGTGTCTGCCGCCTCCCTCTGTCCCTTCCCACTGCTGTATGTAATGTCTGAAGTAGTGGGGAAGGTGGGAGGGTCATGGAATGTGTATGTGCACAACACATCTCAAAAAAAGCAAGGTTTCCAGGCAGCTTATCTAGATTAGCTTCTCTCTCCAAAGGTCTGGCATCTCTGGGCCATATTTTTCCACCTGAACACCTGTTAAACCTTTACATGAATATGCTTATAGCTGTGACTGCTGTCAATCTTTTCCAGATATTATATTCTCTGATGAAAGGACATGACCCTGAGATGTGCTCTGCATCCACAACTTCTATTTAGGTGAACACATCTGAAGATCAGAACTATAGCATTCTAGTCCTTTTGATTAAGATTTTCAAAGCTGACTAGGCAATTTAGCTATAACACACCCACTGAAATCAATAGAAGTGATGCAGATAAATCCCCCTGTCATCTTTGAAAATCTTTTTTCCTTAATATTTGGAAGAAAACGTGCACACAGTTTTATGTCAAAAATGCTTACAACAGATTAATCTAAATGTAAAAGATCTCCAAGACACCATACCTGCTCCAGACCGGTGGCTGAATTAGTTGACATAGCAGAGATGTATTGACACGTTTACCCCCACAAAAATTAATAGAGGTTAAGGACTGCAAGACCAACGAAGGTTTGTAACAGAATTGTATTCCACATTAGAAGTATATAAATTTTATAAACATTAAAACAAAATGCAGCATCCGGTTGATTTTTTCCCTATGATTAAATGTTGTTCATTTTCTTTTGCAGATTAAGTACTATAGGTAAGAAATACCCAATTTCACCAGGGACCATCAGTATAATCTGCACACTTTTCACGAGTAATAAAACCCCATAAAGCGGAAAGACATTTGGATTGAGACAAAAATCTCCTCTCATCTCCACTGTGACGTTTTTATTTTAATACTAATCTCACACAAAACCTACTTTAAGCAACATTCAGGGTCTGCCAGAAACGAACCCAAACCAATATATAGAGAAAGGAAGCTGGAAATTATTCTAATCTCCTGTGTCTTGTGTGAATAGCCTAGCTGAAGTCAAGGGAACAACAGGCCTGAATCAAAGTCCATTTAATGCAATGGGAGATTTTTCAGTGAGTTCAGTAGGCTTTGGATCATGCCTTATTTGCATTATTAATCTTTTAAGAAGTAAAGTTGGGATCTGGCCTATTGTCCCAGCTCTAGATTTTGCAGGAGTTTCCCAACAGTAGGTAATTTAACATCCGACAGGCCGGATCCTGCATGCCTTGCACACTTAAAACTCCCACTGACTTCAGTAGGATTTTGAGTATGCCAGGAATGCAGTACTGAGCACTTGCATTGTCCTGCAATATCCTCGGCACTATTGAGTGGGGGATGGACCAGGCATTTCGCAGAACTCTGATTTTATGACTTGTGTCAGTTTAAGTTAGAGGGTTATTTTCATCTTTTTGTGTGCATATATTTCCTTTTATTAAGTGTAGGTTTTAAAAAAAAAAAAACTCTCACTTTGTATTAAAAGGTGCATTTATAAACTGTTTACAAAAGGGTTAATAAAGGCTTATTATATACCGTAATAAGTGGTTAATCAATTGTTTTGGTATCAAGAAAGAAATAGATTGCTTTAGAGCCATTTCTATCACCTTCGAATAAAGCCATCTGTAAGTTTTTTGGGGGAAGGATGAGGATGTATGTCCATGATCTATGGTTGAAAGACTTTTTTCCAAGATTTTTTTTTTTTAATTTGTAGTCTTCATCTGAGGTACATTGTTACCTGCCCTTCATTAGGGAAGGCTGGTGGAGTTAATTGATTTGTAATTATGCTGTGCTGCTAGGTGGTTATTGTAAGTTTAATTATTGTCAGGACAGCTTTAAATCTGTGGTTTCAATGTCACATTAAAGACATAATAAAATACTGATGTGTCTAAGACCAACTACTATAACATACTACTTATGTCTATAACATCTATTATAATCATTAACCCTTTATTAACTATTTATAAATGTATTCCTAGTATGAAGTGTGACCAACAAAATCTCTCTCCCTCTCTCATGAACACATACCAGAGTTGCAGAGTAATCATAAAATCTTCGTTGTCCTTGAAAATATTTTTATGAACTTATAATTACATATCCAGCCAAGTAATGAGTTTGGAGAAAATGCAACTGTAATCACATAAAAAGCTTATCTACTTTTTAAAGTGAGGATTTCTGATCTAATAGAGCATGATAGACTATAATGGATTTCTAGAACTATCTGCCTTTGAAAAAACAAGTTGGCACATAGGACTTGTACTGCATTGCACAGGAAAAATCGTTCTGAAAGTGTTTTGAAAAAGCAGTTACTGTACATGCCTGGAAGCCACTTTTTGGAAGTTCAATGTCCATACCATTTTAATTAACAATTTCAGAGCAACAAAAACAAAGAACACATATCATAGACTAACTACCTGCTAAGTCTTTCATTCCTCAAAACAGCTTTTGCGCTGCAAAATCACAGTCCCCCTCTCCCACCCAAAAACATTAAGAACCAGTAAACCATTTTTTCTGCATTTGGGTAAACAAAACAAAACAGGCCAAAAAACTGTCCCAGACAAAAAATCTTGGGTAACTAGTCTGATATGATATTTTCCAGCTATGTTACAGATTCCTGAAAATACGACTGATGTTGAACTAAATAATGCTAATATAATTAAAGCAATGTGAATGTTTCAACTTTAAAGACAAGGCATGCTTTTCCCATTCACAGAAACTGTTCATGTAAAAATCCATCATCCATGAAGCATGTTCTGATTTTTAATTTTTCTTTGCTTTGATAGATCAATTGCTTCACAATATCCCTTAAAAGACAACTATCCAAGAAAAGCTAAATGTACAGTGTTCACATTTTAAAGATTGTCAGTTTTATAGAACAAATGTTGCTAAAACAGTGGAAGATTGAGGGTCATTTCTGTCACTATCTGAAAACATGGGCATCTAATAACATTAGGTAAATATTTTGACAGTAGACCACAAGGTTAGTAAGTTTGTAAAAAGGCGTGCTCTCTCACACAGTCAAAAAAAAAGAGTGATTATTCAGTAGATCCTACAGAACTACAGAGCAGAACAAACCTTATATTACCACGTTGCACAGGTAACCAAATGACATGGTTAGCATGATCTTTTCACAGCATACTTGCGCCATCTTTCATTCTACTCCATGTTGAATGATTAAGTAAAATTATTTTATAATGTGAAAAATAAAATATTTGAAAGAGTTTAGTAAGCCTAGAAAAATCAGATTTGGGTTTGGCAAAGCCAACCTAGCTATTCAATCTACAATGAAACAACAACAAAGTTCAGTCAAGTCCTAAATGTTTCCAGGAGTACTCTTCAGCAATACATTTAACAATTCAGAAGTAATAAGTGTTTAACTGTAGTATTTAAATGAACAAAGTAAAACCTAAACTTGCATTCTCATTGATTTTTCTTGGCTAGCTTTACTTTTCGGGGGAGATGATTACTATCTGAATGCATTCTATTTACTATGGCAGAGGGGGAAATTGTTTAGAAATAGAAATGTTTCACTAGTGTTAACATCTTAGATTTTCATGAGGGAATGAAGGTTACTTATATTTCCAACATGCTTTCCAAATTATATTTTGCCTAGTCAACTTTAAACCCAGCTGAATTTTTAGTGAATGTTTTGTCTGAATGATTATCAAAAATAAAAGAAGACCAAAAATACTACAATAGCGTACCTATAAATCACACAGTTATGGCTGGAGAGGTAATTTCATCTTGCATAGACTGAATAATTATTCATTAATTGCTCCCAAGCAGGTTTGGTACCAAAAATTGAATCATTAGTAACTTAAATTCACTTAATTACAATCAAGTGCATCTGTTTTAATTTTGCACAATTTCCATGATTTTTTTTTAAATGTTGCAGTTTTAGTTATTAGATGTCAGTCCTTGAAAAAAATTGGGCCCCACAGTTTGTTAAATAGTACCTTTGATTATTAAAACTGAAGTAATTTTACAAATATAGTTTACTTTTCACTATACTGTTTACTTTTTGCAGTTTTCTTGAGATTAACATTAAAAATGGATTACTCCATTTTCTTTTGTCATTAGTAACTTTCCAGTCAATTTCACATTCCAGGTACTTATGCACTGGATAAACGCTGAAAACACCAGCAAGAACGCTTACTTATTCTATTGAATAAAAATATATATATTTCCACTAGAACGAAGGAAAAAATCCAAGGAAACACTTTTAATTGGTGTAATGATTTGTACAAGCTTGCTTTCATAAAATCAAAAGGGACATTGTCAACTTGAAATCTACTTATTTTCAACTGAGTTAAAAGTTTCAGGTACTACACCCACCTAAGTCCCCCTGCCAATATATATGTATTTAAAAAAAAAAAACACATTTTCCTATTTTTTGAGGACTCAATTCCGCCAGCTTTGCTCGTATTGAGCAATACATTATTCTACTCACGTATGTAAGTATTTGCAGCTCTGTGGCTTCAACTGCTACTAAACATGAACAAAGCTGGCTGAATCTAGCCCTAAAAATATTTTTCCTCTCACCTTCTGTTGTATGAAAAACATACACAGTACAATAGGAAAAAATGGCTCTACCATGGAAACACTGAAAAAGTGCTGGCAGAAGCAAACAGTAAACAAATTGAAAAGATAGAGAAAAGTATTTTTGCTTCCAATCTCAGTCAGTTATATTCATCTTGGGTGTTGCTTGTAACAATAGTAGGCAAATGTTTTCATACAGGAGTTTGATTTTTAAAGTTGACTGTGCCTTTTAATTTTGGGGTCAAATTGGACTTGTCAGTATGCCTTAAATCAATTACATTATACCAGTTTTCATAATTAAATCTTTCATTATACACTCTTAGTATTTTCTTTAAATTGCTCAGTACATATGGAAAGGGTATTAGAGGCAAAAACAGAGAAGATAGATTAAAACAAATACTTTAAAAACTTTACTTTAATAATTCTAACCATAATAATACCTCATTACTGCAGTTGAGTCAACAGGCCCAATTCATCACAGGCATAATTAGGTGCTATAGTGGCGAAGTCAGCTGCTTATGCTAGTGGTGAATGTAGCCCAATGCCAGTAAAACAAGGATTTTTTTAATGGTAACCTCTGAAAAATAAATTTGCCTTCTATGTACATGTAACAATTTTTTAGCATCTCCTGTCAAGGTCTCTGTTCATGCTGCCTATAAATTGCTCAGTAAGGCAGACTTTAAAGCCCCAATTCAACAAAGCACCTAAGCATGTGTTTAATTTCAAGTATATGGTTCAACCCCAGTGAAGTTAACATGCTTGGATATTTTGTGGAACAGGAATGGCTTTAAGTAGGTGCTTATAGTTAAGCACATAACTAAGTGCTTTGCTCAATCAGTGCTTAAGATTTGAAGGTAGCACCCTCCTTTTCACACTGTCCTGCTACAAGATTTCTTGAGTCTACTGTTCTTTGCACTTAACAATGGGGAAAGACCAACTTTTTCAGCATGAAGGGTCAATAACAGGTGTTCAGAAATAACAATACACAACTCAAGATCTGCGGATAAACTGAAATTAACCATTATCACAGATAAATCTATTTTCATCACTAGTTCTGAGTTTGTTAAAAGACACACAAGGATTTTTTACAAGCCTGTTGTAAATTCTGGTAGTGATGTTTGTATTTGAAAAGATTATTTATATAATCCATAAATTATATTTTTTGTATGTGGAAACAAATTTCAAATTCAATAATATAACTGAGGTGGAAAAACTAGCCAGTCAGTTTTTCATTTTTAAAAATCAGACTGAAAAAACATGAACTATTAAGTTTCTCTGTTGATTACTAGAAATTTTGTGGATAATTGTACTTACTTACCTGAATACCTATTTAGCAAATATCTTCAGATACAAGTTTAGATACAGAGTTAAATGTAATTTGAGCATTAGTTTACACATATATAAATCAAAGTTTGACAATATCAAAATCCCATCAAACTGTGGGCCCTTCTTATGCTATTATCAAATATACTATACCACTATGGGATAGCAGAGAACCATGGAACACTCGCATTAGGCATGTTTATTAAATTTGGTCAAATTTTCAGAACCTTCCAAATAGGAATACTAAACATTTATTTTCCCCTTCTGGAAATTTTTTTCTCATGCTCAATACAGTTGTCATTCCAATTCCTACTCAATTTATAAAAATATTTTTTTTATCCAATAATCCCCGCCAAGGTAAAAATAGGAGTTTTTATAGCAAATGATAAACAAGCTCACTGACTATGAGAGAAATTAAACTTATTTAAACTGTCATACATTCGCTACTGAATCACACATCTCCATTTTCTTTGTGGGTGTGTGTTGTTGCCCACCTCAGACTGGCAGTTTTTAAGGTGCAGAAGCATCTTTCAAATGTGTCTAACTTAATGATCAAGTGCCACATGCTTTGAATTTACATCGTTAGTCAACCAAGAGCTGTCTTTAACAACAGGTCTAATTGAAACTGCATAATTCTTTAGAAATTGTAGCACTTTCAATCTAATGAGAGAACAAAAGGGGTATTTATGTGGTTCATTACATTACTAGATGCAATTTTTTGTAATTAAAAAAACAAACAAACTCAACCTCTCTTCAAAATTCAAAAACACATTTGAAAAAAGTTGCTGCACCTGCAAAGACACTCTTTAAGCTTACTATGAAATACAAAAAAGTGCACCCTTCTATATCTACATATAAAACATATTAGAAATAAAACTTGTGTAAAATGTTTGCTGTGCAAACTATAAAAACAGTCAGTCAGTCCATTCATTTTCCTAAATATTTTGTCACATTCTCTTGCTTCCTATTGCAGAGAATCACTGTTATCCAAAACAAGCCCACTGATGTTTGTTGTTGAGAGGTCTGCTCCATCGTCTTCACCACTATCCACAGATTCATCCTCACTTTGTCCTGCCATCATAACTTGCTGAACAGCCAAAGTAGCACCATCAGATGACAGAGACTGGAGACTGTCTACATTCATGTTGACGGGAGCTGTAATTGTTACAACAGCTCCTGGAGAAGTGAAAACATGTATACAATTGGTAAACTGAAAACAATGATCAAATCAGAATTTAGATTTAACATTACACAAGAGAATTTGTTTTTTTTAATAGGATACCTTGGAAATTACATATAACAACTAACTATGTTATTTAGGTTGCAAAGTCAAGCACTCAAAAGTTAGGAAATGTCAGAATTGAGATTGCAAGACTCTATTTGGTCCCTCTGTGTGCATGCATGATACAGTCTTTAATTACATGATCACAAACTAATATTTCCCACTGTACCCCTACCTCATTCAGTGCACAGGCTGGAAGGTGCTCAGGGAATGAATCAGGGTTACTTAAATGGATGAGACTGCTGCCTTATTTAGCTCCCATTGATGTCAACAATTAATTGCAGTGTTGTTGTAGCCGTGTTGCTCCCAGGATATTAGTGAGTCCAATAAAAGATATTACCTCACCCACCCTGTCAACAGTTACTGGCAGCTTTCCTATTGACTTCAGTGGGAGTCAGATCAGGCCCTTGATGCAGACGCTGCAAGGTGAGTAGGGACCTGAGGCAGGGGTCTGCAGGAAGGGAAAGGCTGGTCCTGTGGTTAAGGCAGTTGGATGCCACCCAGGAGGGATAACTGGGTCTATTCCTGCCTCTGCCACAAAGTTCCTACATGATGCTAGCCAAGTCATTTAAGCCAAAAGTTCAACAGGTAGTTACTAATGATATAGTCCTCATTTCTCAGTGCCCAATGTGAGACTCTTGGGGCCTGGTTTGCAGCACTGAGCACACAACACTATAAGAGAATTCAATGGGAGCTGTAGTACCTTGGGCAGTAAGGCAGGGTGGTCTGCACGAATGAGAACAGCGTGGAGAGTCAGGAGGCCCCATGTAACAAGTCTGGCTCTTCCACTCTGGGAAAAATAATACATGTTCATGTAACTAAAAACTATATCATAATACACATGCACCAGAGCGAAGAATTAAGGTTGCATGGACAACTTTAATTCTGACATTTCCTAACTTCCTAGTGTTTGACTTTGAGAAACCTAAACAACATTCTTGAAACATTTTTTCCTAAACTCTGTCAATTTTTTCCAGACTACCAACACAGTGGTTTAGCTACATCAGGAAATGCCCCAAAATATAACAAAAACCACTTTATTTCTATGTAATAAAGACATTTAAATAAGGAATTCATTTTACTATACGTGTTCCAGCCAATTTTCCTTACCATCTGACATTGTAAGTTCATTAGATTGCTGCTGAGCAACTCCTGATGCAATGGAATCAGGCCAGAACCTCTGAACTGGTCTGTTTTGAGCTGTTTTTTTCTTTGTTTTTGGAGTTTCGGAACAGCTAGAATCCAGCATTGGCTGAAGAATTCGTCTTCTAGCATTGATAAACCTAAACATGACCAACAAAAAAAACCCCACAGCTTATGACCAAAAAATTGTGAATGCATGCGCATGCACGCACACACAGAGACTGTCTCAACCAATGTTTTATGCAAAAAATAAAAATTAAATAGAAATTAATATTAAAAATGAAAAATGCTATTTCTTAGCACCTTGGTTTCACACTCCATGTTAGGGATGCACGAGAACCATTGAACCACAACACCTGCTCCTTGAGCACTGAAGTCCTTTGATATTGCAAATCTAACTAAGGAAGCAGCTCTCTACTTCTCCCTGGCTGTCAGGCCCTTCTTCCTCCCTCCTCTACTGCCAACTGGTACAGTTCTTCTTCTAGCCAGGTGCATTCCAAGGTCCACCCACCCAATATAAGCTGTGAATCATTGCAGCATGGCCCAGATAATGGATGTTCCTCTAATTAGGGTCCCCCCAGACATGCCTCCTACTTGGGTCATTTGCTCAGGTTCCCTGGCTCTTTCCTGTTTATCTCTGGTTTGTCCCTAGCTCCTGCCTGACATCCTTTGATGGTCCCACTAAATTTCCCATGCCTGGCTCTTGCGCCAGTCAATCCACTCTCTTGTCAACAGTCTCTACCAAACAGATTCTCCACCTTCTTCCCAATTCCCTGTAACTCCCTGCTCTCCTCCTGTTTATTTCAGGCCCCTCCAATTGCTGCACAGGAACTATCCTTCCCTCTTTTTCTGCTCCTGAACATAAACTCAAAAGCCTGAAAAGCCATCAGTAATTAATTTCACTGTAGTTAGGTAAGGAAGGATTGTCTTATGACAAAGCACAGGACTTTGAATGAGGAGACCAGAGCTCTATGCCAGATATGACAAAGACTTCTGGTCTGTCGGACGGGTCATTAAAGCTCTCTAGCCTCAATTCCTTTATCAGCAAAATAAGCATACTACTACTTCCATATCTCTCGGGGTATTATGAAGTGAAAATTCTTAGTGCCTGTAGGGTGTTTTGAGGTCTTTAGGTGCTTTAAGTTTGCAGATTACTATTATATGGAAGACCATCCATTGTTTCCAGGCAAGTTTAGTGTAGAACTGTAGATTTAACTCTAGATGACAGGTTTCAGAGTAGCAGCCATGTTAGTCTGTATCCGCAAAAAGAACAGGAGTACTTGTGGCACCTTAGAGACTAACAAATTTATTAGAGCATAAGCTTTAGTCCACGAAAGCTTATGC